ATACGTTACGTAGTCGAGCGTTTGGCAACACGATACCGAAAGCCGACAGAGGATATGTTTTCCCTCCTATGTGTGTGTGTATGTTTGTCAGCAAGATTTCTCGAAAACGGCTGAATGGATTTGGACAAAAGCTGGACTATGACAAAACTTAGAAGTTATTTGGTTTTGGAGTGTCAAGGTTAAAGGTAAATGTCACAGCTAGGACACAAAAATCCCTATCTGTTAACACGGGGACCGATTTTTCACACTATTTTTGCTCTATAACTCAGTCAAAAACGATCGGATTTTGATGAAACTTGATGGGCATATGTAAAATATTATTCCTCATTGTTCTACCAAAAATGATCTGTGTAAGTTGATAACGATGGACATACCGACACATTTTCGTATTTTTTGAGAACCGAATATGATTAACGCTGTGTGGCGGAGGTATGCCTCAAGTTTATTTTGTATCTAACTTTAAAAATTATGAAATATCTAACTTTGTCTTATTAAATAAAAGCTGAAATGTTAGGTACATGTCTTAAAGCATATCATATATGCACAATAATGTAATATACTTTTAGTTCCTTGTCTGGCTCGAAACAAACAAAAAATATTTGCACATTTGTTATTTGTCACGTGTTATTAAATTTGTTAATTGCATATAGAAATTTAAAAATTAACAAAATATATTTCTAAAAAGTTTGTTTTTGTGTTAATGTGTTTGTAATTCGTAAGATAAATGTTACAAACATATACGTGTATCAAAAACTTCATAAGTTTATGAGAATACGTTTACCTCTCCCTAAAGTTGTCTTATTCTTAAGGATGTTTGTCGCAAAGTAAAATACTCCTGCTTTCTCTTAAGTACTTAAACATGTTAGCAATGCCATTTATGTCTTAATGTCCTCGTAATGAGTCATATAATTTATGAACCTTTTAAAATCAATTAAATTTATTTTGTGATAGCTAAGATCATATTTCCAAAACCTTTGTTTGTTTATTTTTAGAACTCTCGCGTAAAACTAGGAAAGGACGACCTGCGCATAGCCGTCCTTAATTTTGAACTGATAGGTTAAAGGGTTCTTGCTATTGTGTTTTTAGCGCAAACCTACACAATGGGATATCTGCGCTCTGTCCACGGCGGGAAATTGAACGCCAAATTTTAGCGTTATCAGTCCGTAAGCTTACCGCTGACCCACCGGAGGACGGGTTAAAAAGAAGGCAGCTAATCAACAGCACCAATACTAACTCTTCGACTACCCTTGGCTGACTGATTAGTGAGATTTTACCGTTACTTTTAAGCGCGCCAATTGACCGAAAGTGCGGAGGGCATTTCTGCAGCAATGGGAGGCAAACCATGAATCCATGGATTCTCAATCCGAGCAAATTTCAACTACAAAATGAAACTAAAATTTGTCATCTATATATATACGTATAAGGTACAAAAAAATCTGTATGTATGTTTGTCTGTCCATTATCTAACTACTCCTAGGTCACTGGGCCAATTTCAACCAAACTTTATGAGATGATAGCCTGGAACAAGGGGCATGTTAATGAGTGTTCATTATTGCTGTTATTCATAAATGGCGCCACGTCCTTACACACACAACAAAAACATTTAGTAACTTTTCTATAACACAACGCCTACCAGTGGCACAGAGGCATGTCTGTGGTCTTACAACGCTGAAAACAGGGTTTCGATACCCGTGGTGAAAAGAGCACAGATAGCCCATTGTGTAGCTTTGTGCTTAACTACAAACAAACAAACTATAACACAATATATATATATATACAGTGTAAAACGTCTTATAAATCTAAGAAAGTGCGCTAACACTCTCTATGAAGGAACGCAATGAAACAATGGTCACCACTATGCAATAATATATAAATTTAGATGAAGTTTCCACTTCAACAGCCACCATCAGGCTGATATGAAGAGCCGTTTCTTGAGTTATACCGACTTTCTATACCCGTGACCTTACAACTTCGGCCCGTAAGACACTTCTGTGGAAGGACATTAAGAACTGGGTGTTGAAAGCGGGTAACGGAAAGCACTCCTACCGCCACAATTTTGTACGCTATCTTTTCCTACAAAATCACACTGATAGTGTATATTAATACCATGTTTTAAATATATACATAATGTGTTGTTAAACTCATATAAAACTTTTGGTGAAGTAATAATGAATACTGTAGTAATATGTTACGTTACAAATACACTGTGTGAAAGTTAGGATTTTTGTGATATTTATCATAGCATCCACTCCCACAGTTCATAACTCGCACAAAGAACGGGAATCTCAGTTTGTTGATATATATATATATCAGAAAGAGATTATACAAATTATTGAAATTTGCACAACCAAAAATTTTAAGTATATAATTTTTTTACATTGATATAGGCTTAGAGATATTTCAAAGTAATGACCACAGGCTGTACGAAATGTAACTTTAAAAATTATGGAAATATCTAACTTTGTCTTATTAAATGAAAGACGAAATGTTAGGTACATGAAATGTTTGAACAATCATCTTACGACCGAGGATATTTGATATGAGCTAATATAGAATTTATAGTTCTTATGGCTAAATTTTACTCTGATACTTCCATGAATAACTTAATCTTTTCCTTTTAAGACAAACATCATGACTGTGTGTGTGTTCTTAGAATGTAATCCGGTATCTGATTCTTTTCATGCCGGAAAGTAACTTTCGCCTAGGTGGTACTTTATTGTCCCTGAAATTCTTGTTATTTGTTAGGGAAGGAACAAACAGGGTAACGTTTCCTAATTAGTCACAAACCGTTAGAATTCTTCTAAAAGCACAAACTTTGATTTTATCGTAACTCGATATATGTTTTGTATATTTTGGCCAAAATATATAGTGTTAAATTTTCTGTAAAAGTCTCAAACAGTGGAAACAATTGCATTACTGTAAGTTTAATTTCAAACGCTGAAATAAATATGTTGGTTAGTTTTCACACAGAGTAAATTTCATATTTTAACGAAGAATTGGATTCGGTAATTATAGTTTTGCCAATAGGTGGCACTAAGATAGAGTATCATATTATTTAAGTTCGCGACTTTTTTCTACTCCTCTCTTTTATAATGTTATATTAAAAGATTGATTTAAGATTCTATTTTCAAACCACCCAGCTTTCAATCTATTTTCTTTTTACTGCATTTTTTTTAGGAGTTGGAACTTATAAATACGTAAGAAATATATAAAAGGCTTTTAACAACTGTCATCGTTAAGTTTATAATGCTGATAATTTTTACAAGATGACTTGTCAATGAATGCGTAAATATGACGAAAGTGACGGAATTAAAATGAACCACACCTATTCCGTTTGCCGTTGTCATAGCCCGTAACTACGTGATCAATACGTTTCTGCGTGGAATTTCTTACAGCTGGATCATTGTTTGCGGTCTTTAAAACTAGCAAAAGTTCGTCTTCGACGTTGCCAACTTAACAAACCTTTTTTCTCGATACTATCACTTTTCGTCACCATATATAAAAAGTAAGTGATTTTTAACATAAAGACAGTGTTGCTCATATAAATACAGCTTACAAGTTGTTTGCAATTAATAAATTGATTGTTATAAACGATGATCAACAAATCAGAAGGAAAACTTTATTGAACGCATACTATAACATTTTATGAAACTGGTATTATTATTCTTTATTGGGTAAAAGGATGTCATTTTGTTCATCTTATATGGTTAATAACTTTTAATATTAAAACATGTATTACAGAGTTCCGTTTTACTTTGACAAAATGTCGTGACAATACACAGAAGCAGTAAGAATTAATGGTAATGCGATTTTATATGATCGTTTTTATCAATTAGTACTCTCCTCGTTTTGTTGAATCACACGTTTAATGCATTGGATTTCTATTTTGGTTTGATGTTAAGCGCATAACTACACAATGGGCTATCTGTGCTGTGCCCCCTCGGGTATCGAAACCATAATGTCGGTGTAATAAGCCCACAGACTTACCACTGGACCTGGAATAACCTGGTGGTTAGGGCGCTTCATTCTCAATCTATGGATCGCGAGTTCGAATCCTGCACCCAACACCCTTGCACTTTCAGCCGTGGGGAAGTTATAATGTGACTGCGAATCCAACTATTCGTTGGTAAAAGAGTAGCCCAAGAGTTGGCGGTGAGTAGTGTTGATTAGCTACCTTTCTATTAGTGTACCACTGCTAAATTCTGTATGGCTAGTGTAGATAGCCCTCGAGTAGCTTTGCACGAAATGTAAACCAAACCAAACTTACCACCAGGGGTCGGATTTTTTTTTTTTTTTTAAGCGCAAAGCTATGCAATGAGTTGTCCGTGTTCTGTCTACCGTGGGTTCTCGAACCCCGGACATTAGATTGGTAATTTCGGAAACTTACTGCTGACTTACCAGGGGACTGGCTTTATAACAAATAAAAGTCCGAATAGCTTAGCTTAAATTAATCAGTTATAAATTTCGTAACTCCAGTTTCATTCATATTCAAATATTTCCAAAATACTAGCATATGAAATGACCCGGTATGGCCAGGTGGTTAGGGCGCTCGACTCGCAAACTGCGGGTCGCGGGTTCGAATCCCCGTTCCATCAAACATGCTCGCCCTTTCAACCGTGGGGGGCGTTATTGTGTGACGATCAATCTCACTATTCGTTGGTAAAAGAGTAGCTCAAAAGTTGGCGGTGGGTGGTGATGACTAGCTGCATCCCCTCTAGTCTTACACTGCTAAATTAGGGACGGCTAGCGTAGATAGCCCTCGTGTAGCTTTGCGCGAAATTCAAAAACAAACAAA